TAACATTAACTAACCATAAATGTAAATCTAAATGCTCAATCACTTAGAAAAAAGAGACAAGCTACTATTCAAGTCACTTAACAACTTTATTAAGAAAAATTATCTAACACCAAATTTGTATCGCGCTTATTCGTTCGCTTGCAATAGAAATTGATGTGGAAAAAATTACGAATGACACGTGCCGAAACATAATCAATCAACGCGAGTTAATTTTTTGCCATGTTTCGTGTGTGGTAAATTGTATTTTAATCGACGTCTTTTGTTTAATTGCCAGTGTGCATTCATTATAAACATTATTTCAGAAGCGTTTTTTTCTCTGGCGATAACAATCTCGCTCTCACTCTTTCAGGTAAAATGACAGAATAGAACGAGAAAAATATAAACAGAACATAAACTGGCAAATAACATTTCACAAAATGCAATAGAAAAAGAGAAACGCACGGAATGTGATGCGTAAATGCAACATTCCACTGAATTAATATTGATCACTCACTCTCAGCCATTTTGATGAATGACCGCCCCCTTTTTTACTCTCTCTCTCTTTCGTTTTCTCGCATTTCACTATTCAGTAGTTGTTGTTTTTTTTTATCGAAAAATTTCCTTCACACACATCATTCATTTGCTATTCTGTCATATATTCGCCACCCGCCGCAGCTGTTGTGCCGAACTCGATACAAACATCAGCAAAAATAAAAAACAAACCAAAATAAATACAAATGACACACAGTCGGCATTAGCTCTCTCTCGCTTGCATGCACAACGAACGAAACCGAAAACAAAATACACACATAAGTTCTTGATTTGTGAGCTCACAAACACATAAACATGCGAATAAGGTGTGCATACCACGTACGTCATCTATTGCAATAAAACTTAATTTTCACCCGGTTCATGGAGAGGTTTTTTCTTCATGCTATTCATTTAGTGGTTTTCTTTTATGAAAAAAACCACCAAGATCATCTGATTTACTGACCGAAATTAAATAAAATTTATTTACTTGAATATTTTCATTGAAACGAAAACAAAATCAGCTGAAACCGTAAAATCAAGTTCAACTTAAACTCAACAAGCAATAATATACAAGATAAAACTTATTTTAACTGGAAACCAAATTAAAATATTTATCGGTTAATTAACATTCAATTTTATTTAAAGATAAAATAAAATAGGAGAAATGTTCATCATTCAAAAACTTTGGAGAAGAAAATAATAAAAAATAGTGTTAAATTCAATCAAAAACTCCGAAAAAGTATTCAAATCATTCAAAGTCCAAAAGAGCTCGTAAATTAAGATATTTGAGCATATATAATTTTCGGCGGCCGCATCGAATTAGTTAATCCAATATATAACAGGTGTCACTGCCATCACAGAGAAGTCGTCAAGAAGAATTTATGGTGTTTTCTCCTCCAATGATTCTCATTGAAGCGTCCGCATAAACAATGTTTCCATAAAGCTTCGAGGGGTTTCGTCATCGTCACGCAAACAACAACATATGTTGTGGAAATAGCATTTCATTACAATCCATACGCAGCATAAAAACCAAAATATTCATTTGAATTCTTTGAAGCACATAGCATTCTCGAACTAATCCAATTAAATTGTGAAACCATTTCAGATATGAAAGGAATTCTCTTTTAGAACAAGAATGAGAAGAAAAAAACCATTGCCTACATTCAGGCTCTTGTTGTTCTTTTTCTGTAATTTTTGTACTAAAATTCCAATTGGAATGAGAAAAAAGCTAGCGTCTACAGAAAATCAAGTATATCCTTGGAGATTGGAATCCAATAAAGTTTGCTTTTGAAAGTTTATTCGTAAATTAGCTTAGAGTTTGATTGAGCGCTTTAAAAACGTCATTGCATTCGAATTCAAAATAAGCATAACATGTGAATTTGGGTAAAAAAAAGGAGAAGAGACTGTCTTGTCGCGAATGTCATTGGTTTTCTATGTTGGCTTCATCGAAAGAGATAGAGAGAGAGAGAGAGCTTTTGTGTTTCAAAAGAGAGATGTGTGTTAGCAATAGGAATTGTTATCTCTTTTGCTTGGTTTGTTTTTCCATATGCATGAACATATCACAAACTGTTCATTTTCAATTTATGATCTTTTCTCCCGTTCATTTTCCCATTCTCCAAGTGTATAGGGTGTGTGTGTGTGTGTATGTCGGTGAATCAACAAACGAGAATGAGCGCGGGAGAGATAGAGAATATGTGCAAACATCCCAGCGGAATGAAGACCACATATCATTTTTCTGTTTTTGTTTTTCATTTATGCAGACACCAAAGCCACTGTGTAGCATGGAGTCTGTTGTGCGATGCACTGTTTAAAATCATAGACAGGCGGAATCGTAATTTTGCCATTGCATCGCAACCAACGAACTAAAGTATTTTTTTTTGTTCATTCTTTCGTTTTTCTACATACACACACACACACACTCTGTGTTGTTGGTGTCGTAACGTGTGCTTCGATGATGATGTATGTAGCCCTCGAGTCATTTTGCCAATTTTCAGTGGCAGAAAAACGCAAATACAATTGCACCAAATGTATTCGCGTCGTTAGGTTTTAGCCCTGAGATATCACAGAAGTAAACAATCAAACGAAAGACAAAAAAACTGACAAAATTGCAGAGAAAAACTTTTTACATCTATGAAAATATATGACTGTCAATGTCGAATGCTGAGAGGAAACAGTGCGAACACAGTTCGGAAAAATAAAAATGTAACGTTCTCAGTTTTTTTTTGCTTTCTGCACACATACAGAGAGCGTTATACACAAGCCGTAACGAGCAATGATTGGTAATTGCACATTGAATGTGCACCACATTGTGTATGATCAGCCGAGATATGTGAAAATATGACCGTTATCATGCTAATTCAATTCCATGAGAGCATATACACAATTCACTGCTGGCTCTTTTTTTATTCCAAAGCACAAATATCGTTGCGCGAATGATGTTTTGTTTTGATGATATGGCACTGCCGACAAAAAAAAAGAGCGCAAAAATATGGAATTTGCAAGTTTACAAACGGAACCGATGCTCATATGAAATCAATATAGTGAACTCGTGTGGCTCGAAATGGCGTTGAAAATTTCCGATATCTTCTTGTTTTTGCTGCTATCTCTCGTTTGTTTGGCATAACAAAAAAAAGTAGTAACGCTTTGTGCTCATCGCATATTTGTTCATTGTTGCTGCCGAATCGTTCGTCTGTATTTTTTTCTTCTTATGAATGAATCAAATGGGATTCTGTGTGTTTGCTTGTTTTCATCAGAGATGCAAGCGACTGACTGTTAGTACTGCTGTTGTCGTCGCCACCGTCGTCGTCATGCAAAAAGTTTTTAGTTTTTCTCATTTTTTTTCGTTTTCTCTCTATCTATCTGGCCATGGTTTTTCATGCTCAAGACGCATTCGACTCTATCCATAAAACTCCACATGAAACTATCGACCAAATTGTATATTCATCCGTGAAAAGCAAACCGAAAACCTGCCAGCCAATGGAGAAAAGTTTTTTCCATTCATTTTACTCTCTTGCACTTCGCTCACTCGCTCCGCTTGTTCATTTCTCTTCGTTTGTCTTCAGTAGTCTGGCACTTTTTTTCTATTTGTTTGTTCGTGTGTCAGTCGAATAGCGTCTGTGTGTGCATTGCCATTCGTAATGTATAAAACACACACACTTTGGTGGATATATGCTCGTGGAGGTGACACGATAAAATTAATGAATCAATGAAACAACAAACCAACTACACCTTACCATTAGTTATCGATATTTTCAATGACGCTCATTTAAAAGGCGTTTGAGAATATATTTTTTTCTCTTACTTTATTTCCTTTCGTCTCATTCTCTACTTTTTTTAAAAACTAAAACTTGTAATTAATGGTTTTTTGCCCCGAACGGGTAAATGCTGAATACTTTTCGGCGATATGGAATTTTTGCAAGCTCAGCTTAACGATTTTTTTTTCGGATGCTGTAGACCAGATTCGAATTGTCAAGGAATGTCATTTATTAGGGAAAATTTAACAAATTCGTTGATTTTGAAATTTTTTTTTTTTTAAAGAGAAAACTGAGTCGGTACGCCTTTATCGCTTGAATCTAATGACACAATTTATGAATCACACATAAAACTGTACTTCGGTTGAAAAGCTGTGAGATGACATGTTGTTGCTTGTTTTTTTGTTGTATAAGAAGAGCTCTTTGATGAATTGGAACGCTTTTGAAATATAAAGTGATTTTTAACGATTTGCTAAATTAAGAATGTCACTCATTGTAAATATGGCGGTTGTGACCTTTTCGCAACAATTTTGTGATGCCGTTGCTGATGAAATGTCGAATCAACGCCAGATGAAAAGAACATATATTTAATTTTGAGTAAAAATCATAAGTTTTCATATGCGATCATCAAAATACGCACACAATGTATTCAAAAATGTGGTGAAAGAATTAGTTGATGTTCGTACTCGTGCGATAACAGAGCAAAAAGTCCCCACAGAAACAAATTCCAATTGATTCGGAATAGAAAAGCCCCAAACTGGAAATTAATTTGATTAAAAACTAATTACAATAGAACAATTGGTCGGTGGGTTTTTTGTTGAAGCTCTTAATCGCTAAACTAATTTCAAGTGGAAAAAGACCAAAACAATTACCCGTTGTGTCAAATGTCAAGCAATTTGATATGATAATCAATAGTGTGTGGCCGATTCGAGGGCAAATTGTAAAATGTAAAGTGTGATAAGTGATAATTTTCTGGCGCCAAAAATGGAGCTGTTTTACAGTATGAACGGCATCGAAGCAGAAATGCGATAATTGCCATGTCTCAGTATATATAATTGTTGATAATAAATTAATTACGCTGACCCAGCACACTTATATGTATTTTGATTTAAGTTAACCCACATTCCAATATCACGCGGCCTGACACTGAAGAAATAGTGCGCTCATATGTTTTTCTTTTGTTTCGTTTTGCTTTCGAATATCGAAATTAATCGTTTATTTTTTCTTTTTTCTTTTCAGATTTGTTACCAGAAACTAAAGCAACAAAAAGATTATCGCCTCTTCAAAATAGTGTGACACATTGAAACACAGAAAGTAAAACGACAAAAAATAATCATAATTATTCGATATAAAAAAAAGAAATCCGTATGTAATACATTTATTGCGATCAGTATTTCGGAAATTTGAAGAAAATAAAACAGGAGCTTTAAACAGTGTTAATTCTATCATCGAGTAAAAAGAGGAAACAATCGAATAACATAAAAAAAACTAACAAAATGACAATGAGTACAAATAATTGCGAAAGCATGACTTCATACTTTTCTAACTCGTACATGGGTTCAGACATGCATGGTCACTATCCGAATGGTGATCATTTGGATGCTGGCCAACAAATGCATCATTACAGTCAAAATCCAAATCAGACTAATATGCCACCATATCCAAGGTTTCCACCATATGATCGAATGGGCTATTACAATCAGAATCTTGAACCAACAGGATTCTCTCGGCCGGACAGTCCGTCAAGCCAAGTTGGTATGCAACAACAACCGAACGGCACACAAATGACAACAGCCACACAACAGCAACAACAACCCGTTGTATATGCCAGCTGTAAATTACAAGCGGCCGTTGGTGGTATCGCCGGTCTCGAAGGCAGCTCACCGCCACTCGAACAAATGGGACATCACATGAATACTCAAATGACAATACCTCATCATATGGCACATGCACAAAGCCAAATTAACGTAAGTACTTTAAACAGAAGATGTGTGACATATTTTACAACGGTGACACACGGTGTACTCAACTTGATTGCATTCATTATGTTAGGTTCATCAAAATCAGCACATGGGAATGTACACACAAACGGGAAATGTGCCGCCTGTTGGAACGCCACAAAGTATGATGCATCAACAGAGTGCACAAATGCATCAAGGTCAACAGCAACCAGCAACAAATAGCCAAAACACACAAGGATCGCTACCCTCACCGCTCTATCCATGGATGCGAAGTCAGTTTGGTAAGTAAACATGCATTGTACGTCTGAAATTTCGAGAGAAAAAACGACAACATCCAATTAGACCAATGTGCATTATTAAAATGAGATTGCACACAGTGCGCGCTACCATTATTGTTTAGCAAATTCTCAAGAAAATATTTTTTTTTGCATTTTTTTTCGCACCATCAAAAAAACTGGTTGAAACAATACAATGTGCAGTTGTGCACTAGATTTCTCTGCTAGAGTATATCTCCTGCTGTTTTTACCATTTCAAAACAAAAATTGCGAAAATGTGATACGGTTTCCCGTCTTCTTTCTCTACTATTTGTCTTTTTTACTTTTTTCCTTTTTCCCTTCCGTTTCGCAATCAAGACAATTTCACTTTATTTTTTACACATTGTAACTTCTTCCCTTTTCTTGTGCAAAAAAAAACCGGGTGAAATACTGACTTTGATCTTCATTTGAAATCATTTGTTCAAAAGCGATACAATTATTTCAAGGACCATTTAATCATAAATTCACTTAAATGCAAAACAGAATCGCGAAAACACACGCAAATAATCCTTGAACATATACCACATTCACCAGCAAACAATCTAACTATATCTGTATTTTCAGCGCAGTGTGTGTATCTATGTGTGCGTCTGTATATATGCTTTTCAAACCTTTTTCAGTGAAACTCAATGTATATAAGTGCCGTACATGGTGGCCATAAATTTTGCAACGTTCAACAAATAAATGCAACAAGTGGCTCGTTTCGCTGACACATCTTTTAGTGCAAATCGTTTTCCCCATTCATTTTGAGGATTCAAATGAAAGTGTGTGTGTGTATCTATATTTTCCCTTTTTCAGTGTATCCTCTTGCAATTTCTTTACGTTATTTTGATGATAAAATTCAAAGCAGATGCGGTTTGTATTGTGTTTTCGAATCGAGCAGTCGTTTAAAATGATCATTTCCATGCAATGACCCGGTAATTTACAAAACCTATAATTTTGAAATGTGATTTCTCAATCATTGGAAAACAAATAAAAGTGATAATTAGAAAAAAAAAGAACGGAGGGAATGTCCCCATTTTGGTTTTCGATGGTTCATGAATACTCGTTCTACGCAAAAAATATTTATAATACGATAAACTTTTGAGCTGGAAACCAACTTCAATGCCGTACTAAATAAATACATGTCTAATGCACTGGTTTTTCTATTCATATTGTAGCAATCTTAAAACCTGTGCCACACCACAAAAATGCCAAACGCAGCGGAAAGAAAACTTATCTGTTTGCGCAAAAAAGGGAAGTCTCTCTCTCTCTCCCACCACAGTCAAACAGTTGAACCGCGATTTTTCATTGCAAAACTCGAAACGCTATGCGGCGCACATCGAAAGAGCGAAGCATAGCAAGAGTGAGCATGTTCGCGATTACGATTTTTCTTTGACAATAGATGGGACATTAGTCAGCGTCGAAAACACAATAATAACACATTATTCGTACGGCAGCATTCAATTTGTTTCTTTTTTTTCCTTGCTCTGGCTCCTACTCCGCCATGGCTTTTTCTCAACATTCTTTCCTATCTTTCTACCATTTCAATTCCGTTGATAAGTTTTTCGTTTCTTTGTCTACGTCGTTCAACTGGACGATTTTTTCTACTCTGGTCCATACACACATTCTCTCTCTATCTCGCCTCGGCTATATTTGGTCGTATGTTAAATGAAAAATGTATGAAATTTCATTTTACCTCGCTGTGTACATTGTTCACATCACACAAAAATTGTGTGTGTGTGATTCACAATCAATGTGTAGTGTATATGTGCGGAACGATAGAAAAAAAGTAGGCATCGCTTTTATGTGTGTTTGCACATGCTGGTATATATATATGAGAGAGCGAAGGAAATCGATAACATGAATCTTTATCTTTAACGCGCCTTTTATTGAATCCCTTGGTACAAGGAAAACTTTCCGATTTCATTGAACCTTTTTTCATCGTATCGTACCTTCTGTGTAATGTTTACTATCTGTGTGTGAAATGCCATTTTTCAATATGCTTCAATAACAAGTAAAAATTCCGAGCGGAGAAATAGAAAAAAAACATGCCAGGCATCGACCAAGACAAAAAAAAATATAATTAATTAGCGCTTTATCGGGTAGATGAATACACAGCCTAAGAAAATAGTAGTAGCCGGGCAAAAGGCAGTACCGTTTATAGCGCACATACATTCAAAGGAGGAAAAAAGCGCATCAAAGAAGAAGAGAAATGTTGAATCCCTTTTCTCTCAACGTTGTTCATACTAAAATGCGCTTCGGTCGTTGAATGCGGCCAACTATAGAGAGTGAGAGAGTGTGGTTCGTTATTGCGCGCACGGCCGCCTTTGTTTTGATTTTCTCTTCTTTGAGCGACGGCGACAACGGCATCGAACAATACTGGGATATATTTTACACATTTACGATTAAGACCAATTTTTCTTCCATTTTTCGGGCTGAAGATGAAATATTTAATGAGGGTAAATCATGATTTCCGGATTATTAATTTCATTTGTGTTTTCTTCGCTCGTTCAGTCATTTTCATTTTATTTATTTTTGGTGGTTCCGTTCTTCGGGTATTTTCTTTTTCTTTATAGCTTTTGTTTTGTCAACCATTTCTCATTTGCTTATTTCGTCCATCACTCGCATTTCATCGCCTTCAATCTTCTTTTTATTTTCTCATTCGGTTGACGTGGCAATTAAGCGAATTTATCTTGAAAAATCGATTTCGTGAATAAAATATCCTTTCTAACAGCAAAATAAACTAAGTCTGACTGTGGTCACGGATTAAACATGTTCAAGTTGTCTATTTCTTTGAAAATAGAATCGAATTAGAACGAATTTAAAAGGTTTTGACCCGATTTTATGTCATTAGAAGTTCATTTTTATTTTCAAAAACAAAAGAAAGATGAAACAAAAACAAAAACGAATCGAATTTCAACAAATACGAAAATAATTCGTAACATTAGCGCTTGAACCTTACAATGTACACAGAAAACATTATCTTTCTACGAGATAAGATCGACATCATCGAGCACCGAGTTGTTAATAAAATACAATAGAGCAAATAAATATAAAAACAACTGGAAAACCAAGCGCGTCACGAATGTTGAACCGAAACAAGAGAAGAAAAAATGAACGTCGAATACACTTCTTAAGTAGTGAAGCAAAAAAAAAATATACACTCGTACACCGCCGATTTATACGCACACACTGTAACAGCAATACTATTTATAAAAGATAAATAAATTGATGACTCTCATTGTGTATGTAGCATGTAACTAATGGATGGTAATCAATTTTGCTTTACATCTCAATCTCTTTGCGTTTTATTCTTCTTATTCTCTCAATCGTTGCTGCTCTTTTTTTATGTGTCTTCTGTTGTACGACTACTTTCTCGGTGCGTTTTGTGCCGAAGCATTTTTTTCGTGGTAGTTATTTTTTTTGTTTTTGTTCCATCGAATAGAACAGGGATTTTGTTCGAATAGAGCCATAGATCTGTTTTAGAAATACGCCAGACTGATGATTTTTCCAAACCGAGTCCCTTTTGCCGAAAAAACACACACACACACACACATACAACCATTCTGCACAAGAAAAATGAACAAAAGACGAAAATTTAACACCATCGAAAGTTTGGCAATGCAAAACTTCCAACGTTTGAATCTCGTTCACGAGTCATTTCTTCGACTGCTGTTCATTTGATTGCTAGTGCCTGGGAAAGAATCAGATATCAGACAATATATGTATCAAGCACAGGATAATGTCTATTTGAATGAAATCCACATTTTATTGCATAGTTTTATGTGATTTTGTTTTCATTGTTGCTCGAAATATTTCTTTGAGCAGCAGATATGAAGGGGGCAAACAACTCATATGTGCATTTTCGATAGCAAAGAATCAACAACGACAAGTAGTTCCCTCACAATCGAAGCGTTCGGCTGTATAAAAATAGATAAAAGAATGACTCGAACAAAAGAGATAAGTGTGAATCACAGCAACTTTATCGGCTTTAGTGCGAATCAAAATACCACAATCCTCTCTGATTTTTGGTTCCGGAACAAAATATTTCTTGCGACTATGTTTTTAATCTCTATTTGAAAAAAGACACATGCCCACCCATACAATTCCGGGTGTCAAATTCAATCAAATCAATAGAAAGTATGAATAATGTTCGGTTGTGTGCTTTCCTCGAAAACGAACGCGAATGCTTTTCATGAGCTTCTTAATCAAAGTAATTGCCATCTGCTTGTTGCCATGTGATGATGATGATTTCACGTATGTAAGCACTTTGAGTGGATAAAAGCACTGAAGATGTTTCGCGCTAGTGTCATCCGGATGGAGAGATTGTGCCAACGCACTGAGTCCCATCAGCATTAAAATGTCATCAGAGCAAAACATAAAACAGGAAATCACCAAAGTGAAATTTTTCTTTATTTTGCATACGAAAACAAGTAGTCGTTGTCGTCGTCATCATCGTCACCACAGCCGCCATCATCAAGCGTAAAAAAATGGAATACATTGAGTGGGTATGGTTAAGTGAAGCCACTTTAAACAAATAAATCAAAATTTCACCAGTACCAAGAGCTTTATACATTCTTCGCGCGCAAAATACGGCCACAAACTCTTCGTTTTCTTGAAAATCCAGAACGGAGCGAGCATACCGACTATATGGGATACATAACAATTGCGACAACAACCACGACGTCGTCGTCGTCGTCGACAACGACGATGTGAATGAAATCCTTTATGAATATGTTAAAACTTTTGCACTTCAATCGATTTAAAAGCAATTTCCCTCAATACAGTGTGAGGCTGTTATGGCAGTTGAAGAAAAAAAAACTGTTTCAACTTTAGAGAATAGAAGTGGAAAGAAGAAAATATGAAAAAGTTTTGATGCGTTGTCGTTAGTCTTTTTCTCTCCGTCTCGCAAGGCTTTGCTTCGTTTTTATCTGACGTGAAGTTTAAGTTTCTTTTTTTTTGAAAAAGTTTCGCTTTTTTTGTTT